TATAATACTGACTTGTGTACTGGATTAAACTAACAATGCGACATGTGCTGAAATGTGTGCTGGTGCTAGTGGTTAGGTGTAACCTAAGGCTCACTCACCAACAGTTGAGTTGTCACGAATAAGTCGATATTTTTGTTTATAAAGGCGACCTGCGCGCCCATTAGAGCGTCCACCAGTTACTGTTAGTCGGAATGGTGGCTAAACTTCCTCTTTTTAAGGAATCTGCGGGCAGGAATGTGAATCACAGACTTTGGTTATACCTTATTTATGATCCTCATATTGCTTTGATTCTCAAACGTCGCTTTGGGTCTTCCAGTCATAGTCACTTCTTCTGACACTCCATCCGTTTAACTACCTTCCGGCGAAGCTGTTTCTAGGCTTGCGGTGCTTAGATCTCTCGCTAGGTTATGCATTTCTGTGATTAACATCTTTGCTGTGCTGCCTCACATGATTTGCTGCGTTATAGTCTGATAAACATGCATATAGCGTGCTGCTAGTGCACTTTTGAGTTGTCGTTTGCAGCAATATTTTGGTGAAAAGTGACTCTCTAGGCCAGGGATTTGCCAAACTTAGGGATTTATGTTGAGTCAGAAGTTTTGTCTAACGGCTTTTTGCTTCGCGTAACGTGATATATGTCAAAGTTTTACTGTTTCTTGAGATCTCTGTAGTCCGGCTCACTCATGTTTCTCACCTTTTCTACCCCGTGTTCCGAGGTTTGATTGTGTTATGCTTGAGGGGTGATGCTATTATTTCGGTAAGATAATCAACGTCTTTTTCTAATTTTAAAATTTCGATGATTTGTTTTCGACATTCGCCACTGCGTGTCGACATTTCGTCATTTAACCTCTTTGTGGTCGACTTCAGTAGTACGCAGAGTTCTTCAGGATCGATGGGCAGTGGTCCATCGCGCCTATTCGCGAGCAAATTAAGTATTTCCGGTATGTTTTTGCCACATAAAATAGAAAACGGTCTACAGGCAAGGGACAGACCGTTTTTTCTGTGTATATATTACTTTTTGTCCGCCGGCAATCCGTATGTAGGCGAGTGGTTAGGAGCGTCGGCTCACGTTCTAGAGGCTTGTGGTTAGAGACCCTCCCGCGGCTGTCAACTTCTGTCACACATAGCAGGGGAATGGAGATGCATTAATTTATAACTTGCAGTTTAAATTGGGAAGTGGACAGATTACCAGGCACAAAGAGAAGCAGTTCAGTATCAGATGTCAGTTCGGATCAAAGGACGACGTAACTCTCGCAGATAGCTTGTCAATAGGTCTTCGTTTTTTGCCAATTTTCAGTAACTCAGCTCACGAAAGACTGAGTCCGGAAGTACATTGGAGTCGGTTTTCGTTGGAACCCGAGCTACACTGAGCCAGATACAGCTATAAGGTTGGGATAGTGATTTCCTGCAAGCCTCAATGAAGGATGAAGATATCGTTAATGTTGTAACCTGCGGGAATGAAGGTTGTCTGCACTTCTAAGCTGATTTCTCAGAGTGACTTCGGGCAGGGGCGGATGACCGAAATGTCAAGACTCAGGAAGAAGAACAAATTTCAAGTCGAATTCAAACGACGCGTCCGACGCGTCCGACGCGTTGACGAGGTTTTCCATTGAAATAACATAAAGATAGACAAGACCAAGTAGACGCATTTTGCATAGGTGGCCGTCCGTTTCCTCCATCTTTATTGGTTGGGTCGGACTTCTGAGACATGATTCGTTTAAGGAAGTGCGATATTACTTGCTACCCATGCATAATATACGCAAAGGCTGTAGCGATCCGTGTCAGGTCTCCCAGCTGACCTTGCGGTTAATAAGTGGTCTGAAGGGTAGCCAGGCTCCACTTGCATTCGATGCTTGTGAGTGGGATTGGATGTTGTAACCGCGTGCTTGAGGTCGATCTTCTGCTTAGAAGGGTGGCTGTATGTTCTATTGAACCAAGGAGAAGCACCGCTCACATGTTTAATACAATATAATACAACACAATATGCATAATTTTGATTGGCTACTGGCGCCTTCAGATTAAATAATTTCTGCATTTTTAGGTGGCTCAATGGGATACCTGGGAAGGTAATGCAGGCGTCAGGTCAGCCGTCCGTCCATTGTCATCGGACGTTTATTTTCTTTTTCTTTGTGACAGGTTATCAGTGTTAATAAACTGTCTGACATCGTGATATCCACGATCCAACAGGAGACAAGGGAATAAAAGTTGGGTAATTTGGGAAAAAAGCCATATTACAATAACTGCGGACACCATCTCCCTTCAGATGGTTTACTGAGAGGTTTACTGTGTTGCACCATTCGTGAACGATCACCATCGGGTGGTTGGAGTTGTAGCAAAACCTTTAGGGTGAACAGAAACGTCAAGAGAGTCATGATTCAGATGCTGTAATGACCTTCCGCCACCTACCTAGAAATTACTGAATAGTCGTCCCACAACGTGAATAGTGAGGTGTGAATGGACTGGTGTTAGTCGTCTGCATCCCAGCGTGTGCATAGTATTATGAGTACGAACTCATCTGTCAGGGGCATGCCCGAACGCTTATAAACTATGTGGCAGTGTGCAACAGAAGGCTGTCGTGCTTAACTGAACCTAATGACACATCGACCATCGATTTTGATGATGTCCACCGTGTGCCCCACAGCTGCAGCAGCGGTGGGAGCAGGGACGGTGACTTGCGCAGGGGTTTATAGTGCCGGTAGACTTGCGCTGCATCTACCTTCACTCTCATCTCCTCCCTGGCCCCCGCCCGGTGTCAAGACAGAGTCAAGAAGACCGGAGACGAGGGAGGCCGCAGGTGGCTGACTCGGACGGATCCTCACCTTGGCGCTCCACCACACCCCCTGGTCCACACAACAAATAACCAGTATTTCAACCAACACAACAGAGATTTGGAGGCTGGCACGGCCGAAGCCGCACCTAGGCGTGCCGCCGACGCCTGGCTCGGATCCCACACTGTGATGGGAGTGCCATAAAGGCCACATTAAGAAGGAGCCATTGCAGCCTGACTCTCAGACCCCCACCAGTCGAGGAGAAGGTCCAAGTTATACCGTCAGTTGGCAACATTCCAAGCCACGGCTTTTAGCGCACCGTGATAGCTTCAAGTGCGTCCGATTGTGAGGAGGAGAGAGAGGAAATGCGCTTTATTTTGAAATCGTAAGTTCAAAATTTTCAGCAAAAAATTGGCTCCATTCACTGTGGGTAGTAAATAAGTTAAGAGATTATTCAACAGTCAAAGAAACGATTATTATGGGGATAGTTCAAGTCTGAGCTTCTGTATTTCTGTCTCTTCGCACGTAAGATAGCGCGCTAGGAAGGGCAATACAGAGGCTCGATAAGCCGATGTGCGACAGGGTATAAGACGGAAGTTGCGGCGCATCGGGCGGGAAGACTTGGCAGCCATAAGATCGGAATGTAGGGGATGGGCAACGTCATCTAGAATTCGACCAGCAAATTGCTTGACCGCATTGAAGTGTCGTTGTAAGATTGTGTCAACTAGAAAAATATGAGAAACGCCAGCAGCAGAAGAGAGCATGCGGAGGATTCGTTTCAAAATTAAAAGATCCTTTTTTAACAGAGCAGGAAAAACGACAGGAGAACAGTATAGGATAAGAGGAAGAATGCAGGCATCAATGAATCGCCAGACTAAGGGTTGAGGTGTGTAGTAGGAACGCAAACGACGAATGTAGTAAAGGAGTTTACGAACTTTAATAAATATGGACTCAATATGCAGGGAAAAAGAAAGATTTGAGGACAAAGTAACGCCGAGATACCTGAAAGAGGATACCTCATTAGGAAGAATGTCAGAGGAATCAGGGTTAGGAGAGGGCCGCAGTCGAAAAATACACTGAACGGATTTTTGGTTGTTAATTAGGAGACCATTTTCCTCCGACCACGCTAGGACATGGTTTAGGCCATCCTTTAGAGACCGGAGGTGTGTCTGACTTTTGAGAGGGTGTCCAACAACCACATCGTCAGCATACTTGATCAGAAGACAGTCATTAGGGGACCTGAGATCATCAGTGTGGAGGGAGAAAAGGTGAGGGGATAGAATGGAACCTTGAAGAACACCGCAGTCATTGGGAAGGGTCGAAGATTTTCGCTTGCCAGATTGGACAAATTGGGTGCGGAAGCTAAAATAATCGCTCAGCCAAGAGACGACCCAGCCTGGAGAGCCACATGCGGAGGTTTTGGAAAGGAGAAGAGGACGCGGGACGGTATTGAAGGCGGAGGAGTAATCAAGAAAAGCGCACGCATACTCGCGGCAACCCTTGTCTAATGCTTTTAGAGCAGAGTGGACCAC